TTGTTTGTACCATGGTTGCTATATGGTCATCTGTGCCATAGTTACCGGAATAGTTGTTTGTACCATGGTTGCTATATGGTCATCTGTGCCATAGTTACCGAAATAGTTGTTTGTACCAGAGATGAGCGAGCCGCGGTGTAAAACCGCCCCGTCCCGCCCCGTCCCGCCCCGCCCCGCCCCGCCGGCGGGGCGGTGCTAAAACTTGACGGGGCGGGGCGGTGACGGTGCATGACGAAATTTCGCGGTTTCCCCGTCTTTGTATAACCTTGATTTTTTAAATATACTCAGACCTTTAGAGACATCTTTTTAAAATTTTAAAATCTTTTCACAAAACTAATCAGTAAAAAAAGACTTGTTAGCGCAGCTCCAGAGGAGCTAAAATGTAGAACTCACATATATTTTTTTAATTTTTTGTCCTGATGCCTTATTTTTAAATTGTGAAAATACCTTTTTTCCGAATACGTATGAAATCATTGATATATTATATAAAAACTAGAGCCTTTTATGCGCTGCTGAGGTCTGTAATGGTGGGGGTCAGGGTTACCAGATCGAAAATTAAAAAATCAGAAAAATTTTTCTAAAACTTGGGAAAGTCGGAATTTTTGTTCTCGAAATCGGAAGAAAATCAGAAAGTATTTTTCCATGCTTAAATAACTAGTCTATATATTTTCGATAGCTTCAATATCCTTTATCTTGCTTCTGTTCATCTTTTCGAAGCAATATCAGAAATGATATTTCATAAAGAATTAAAGAAAATATCAATTACACAATTTACTCATGATTGAGAAATCTACATAAGTAATTTGAACAGGATCACATTATTTTTATCAAAAATGCTATAACCAACTTGACGAAACAATAGAATCAGTATTGTAAATTCATACACACATGCATTTCACAAAACTTATGCAAAACAAAACTAAGACTTATTCTGTATAATGTTCGTTTTTGTTCATACTTTTTTATTAGCTCGAATACTCTTCAAAATATCAGGTTGAGGTAACAGATATTCATAAAAATGTCCACAAGTATAAACAGAACTCATTCCGATTTTCAATTCTGCAACAGCTAAATTAGTACCCATACGATTATGATTAGTTTTATGATATCTGTGATGAAACAAAAAAAGCTCAGAAACGAAAATATTCTTAATTAACACTATAGTAAACGAACAGAGAAAGTTAGTTCATCGTGATAGAAAGCTGGATCTTAATTGTCTGTAAAACATCATAGTTTTATTGGAGGATATGCTTTCAAATCACTGCAGTGTGGTTTGTTGAGTTCATGAGGCTTCACTACCCGATAACTATGGTGAAATAGATCGCTATATATGTGTGGTGTCGTGTCATGGTTAAACTATTCTAGAATGTCCTAAGAACTTGAATTCCCAAATAAGACTTCGAAAACCGGAGAAAAATTAGGAAATCTGAAGGCGATCGGAAAAATATGTTAAAATCGGAAAAATCGGAACGTTGGAAAGTCGTTGGAGAAACTTTTAAAAAATCGCAATTTTTCCTGCCGTATCGAAAGATCTGGCAACCCTGAGTGGAGTGTCTGTAATGGAGTGGGGGAAGGGAGAGAGCCGCTAAACCTCGAACTTAAAACTTACAATCATTATTTTATTCGAAAATATACGTGAGTTCCACAAAATGAGTGACTGTATTATAATTGCCTTTCATTTTCATATATTTATTTTTTTCTATTTCGGAACGATGTTTATGCATTTAAAATATGCCTCTTCATCTCATGAAATGAAATAGCCATTATGAAAATTTAATGAAAAATTTGTCAATAAATAGTTTTTTAAAACATATTTTTGACGGGGCGGGGCGGGGCGGGGCGGTGGCGGTTTCAATGCTAAACAGGCGGGGCGGTGACGGTGCGGAACTTTATCGGCGGTGCGGGACGGGGCGGTGGCGGTGCGACTTTTTTGCTGACTCGCTCATCTCTGGTTTGTACCATGGTTGCTATATGGTCACCTGTGCCATAGTTACCGGAATAGTTGTTTGTACCATGGTTACTATATGGTCATCTGTGCCATAGTTACCGGAATAGTTGTTTGTACCATGGTTGCTATATGGTCATCTGTGCCATAGTTACCGAAATAGTTGTTTGTACCATGGTTGCTATATGGTCACCCGTACCATAGTTACGTGGTCGTTTGTACCAAAAAAATAATGACCGTTTGTGCCATAGTTATATGCTCATTTGTACCATAGTTACCTAGTTAATTTTAGTAAAAAAATAGCCGTTTGTGCGAAAAAAATGGTCACTTGTGCCAAAAAAATGGTCGTTTGTGCCAAAAAAATGGTCACATGTGCCAAAAAATGGCCATTTTGACCGTGTTACCGACAGACAGACAGACAGACAGACACAGGTGAATTTCGGTTTCTAGACCCTAGCCTTTCAGTCTAGGGAATATCTTTTATCTTTATGTGAACATGGTGATCTACATTTACGTGGTGCATGTGCAAATTTACTTGCTGCATTAATTTAAACAACAATTCAACTTTTAACACTATCATCATTATCAAATTCATTTATTAATTCTTTTATTAATCAATGTTCATTTGTATCAACTGATTCACAAGACAGTTCAAGGTTATATGTCTTAATGATAATAATGCACGTGTTATACATGTTTCACTAAATGCTTTACGAACATTATTGCCTTTTTTTATCAATTAATAGTCATGCATTTACAATCATAAGAATTGAATTATTAGAAGATTCTATTCAACATAGTACAAGTTCTTATGTTCTTGCTAAAGTAGATAAAACAAAAATATGATTATAATAATTTTTTTTTGTATGTATATAAAATAGTTTGCTCTGGCTCAACTTATAGATGACATTGATTTTCGAATATTATAACTTATCTTGAACAACAACAACAGTTAAAATAACAGTACCCTGATATACGTGTTTGTCAAGTAACTGCTTCGACTTTTGCTAAGTATGTATTTTGTAGAGATATTAACTAGGTGGTTTTCTTTTCGAATTTGAATGCATAAGTCGATTTTGTTGCAGTAAGTTAGTTATTACCCAGGTCGAAAAGTACCGGCCGGTTCCGGCAGGAAAACACCGGAAATCAACGGAACATGGAAGCAGTATTCCGGCCGGAAATTTTTCGGATTTTTTCCGGTGGATTCCAGCCAATTCCTGTTCTTTCCGGCAGGAACCGACCGGAAATCCGCCGGAAAAAGTCCGAAAATTTTCCGGCCGGAATACTGCTTCCATGTTCCGTTGATTTCCGGTGTTTTCCTGCAGGAACCGGCGATTTTTCCGCGTCTTTCCTGCCGGTTCCTGCAGTATCCGGTGACCGGAACGATCGACCTGGGTAGCTACTTTTTGATTTTAAGGTTTGTTAATCACAATTCATTTTTACCATGTCAATGGTCAATACATTATTTACTTAAATGGAGTAATTCTTCTTGTCAATGGATATATAAAATTCATCATTCATTACAATAATCAAATACTTCTGTAATAATATCAAATGATACAGTACAATATGAAACAATATCATGTTTATCAAAATTAACATTTGATCGTTTAGCTCAAGCATTAACTGGAATACAAATTGTTTGTTATTTTTGGCTTTTATATAGGTTAGATGTTTAGAGGATATTTATGTTCTTTCAAATGTTTTAAGACTAACAACAATTCGACCAATTTTTTCATAATCAATATGATGAACTTCGTTTATTTATAAATTTTTTTAAACATCTCTTTATATTACATGGTCTTAATAATTTAATCTTTTCAAGTAAAGAGAAAAAAAAAGATATTTATTATGTTTTTTTTGAATTCTTTCTTTTTATTTGAAGATTTATCAAATCTCAACAAATGAAAAAATGTTTTGAAAGTAGCACAAATGATTCAAGTAATTCGAAAAATTGAACTATTTTATCATCATTCTTTTGAACAGAATATAGTTGATATTTCAGTTTTCACAGAAGAAGAGAGTTCCAATGTTTTAGATATAAAGAATATATTTGATCATGTCTTATCTAAACGAATTCATTTGTTTTTTCTTTTTAAATAGAATGAAAAAGATTCATCAACAACATCAAACACAGACAAAGTTAAAAAAGTTAATCATACACAATTAGGTACTTTTGGAAATTATTCGAATTAATACGTTCATCTTATCAAATACATAAAAGTTTATTAAATTCATCAGAAATAATCATTATTGTCTATGAAATCAGTTTTAAGTCTTATTGCTACACAAGATTTATTAAAAAAATTTGGAAGAGAAACACTTAATTATTTTAAATCAACATTCAATGTACACAAAAGGTAACTTCTTTTAAATAGTAAATATTTATTGTAAAGAAAATTTCAATTATTAATCTTCTTTATTTATTAGTTAAGCTAAAACTTTTAGGATGTTGTATTGTGTTTGAAACTTGTCTATGGTTAAAACTGTAGATGGAAATCTTATAATTAAGGTTTCTGGAAGAGTCTTTCCTAGAGAAGGAAAATTTCAATATAAGAATGTCATAGTAATAGAAAAACTGATTTTACAAATATCGATGATCTTAACGAGAGTAGTTTTATTGTGAAAGTGTCAGATCTTTTGATTCGGTTCTATCTTGAAATTCGAATATTAAATCATCTAGTTGACGTGAGCGATCTGCAAGACACACTATCAATTCGAAATTTGAAAATCATTTTTTCTGCTACCACAACATTCATTTAAAAATAATCTTTTAATTTAGTTTCTATGAAGTCTTCATAAACTAGCTATCGTTTCATCATTGTCTACTGAAACAAAATCTTCAAATGTTTCTTCACAAGTATCATTAAATAATTCTTTAACTTATATTTATACAATAAGTATTTGACAATCGATAATTTATTTTATTTGGTTCACGTTATGCATTAAGTATAAACAGTGATCAATCCATAGAAAATAGTGCAGTACGAGAGTAAAATAAACAAAAAAACGAATTTGATCTATTCTGTCTGTTTTTTTGTTTTCTATTTTAGTTTCTATTAAACTAAACAACTAGTCTTAAAAAATATATTAATACAAATGAAAGTGATTTTCAAGCTGCTATACTCGATGTACTTGTTCAATTACTTTTAATTCGTGTTAATTATAGTTAATTAGAAGGTGATGAAATTCGTTGCATTTCTAATCGTTTCGTTTATTTTTAAATAGCATTTTATTTATTGTATTGCTGAATTTCTTGTTATGTTACCACATGATACACTTCATTCAAAACAAGTTATTAAAGTACAAGATTTAATAAAACATTATGATTCATCATTAGCAAGTGAACATGAACCTGAAACACAGGGTAGGAAGCAAAAAAAAACATTTTTGAGACAAAGAAATTATCGTTAAAATTCTTTATTTAGGTTTGGCAGCATTAGAACCAGTTTTATATGATTTTTTTTCTTGTTTAAGTTATGCGAATAATTAAAATTCCTAAAAAGTTTTATTAAATGAGAGTGAACAAAAAGTGTCCTTCTATAAAGTCTCAAATATCTTAGAAACTCGAGAGGGTGTGAGTGTGGGTGTGTAGATGTAATTTTTCTCCTCGATTGAACCCACACCCACATTTCAACGAATTGATGATCTGAAAATAATCATCTTGTTGTTATGCATCTGAGTTTGAAGGAAAACTAGTCGTCTTAATTATTATAAATAAAAGTATCTTTTCATATCATGTGTATGTACTGAAAAAATAATAATAGAATTTATATTGTTATAGGATTTACGATAGTTAACAGTTATTGTTAATAGTGTTCGAAATGAAGATGATAAATGGAAACGTCTTTCACGATAAATTGTTGATTTACTTCTTGCTCATTTACAATCTCAGGTTATTTTTCTTTTAATAGTCTCTGATTTTACGTTACTTTTTCTTTGTGTTCAAATAGAATCAATCATTTTTGGATATTTATTCCACACAATTAACAATATTTGATGTTGTCTCATCAGTTGCATTACGATCAATTGATCCATTTGTTGTTGCTTTTCGAGCATTAGTAAATAGATATGTTCGTTGTTTTTATTTATAAAATTTTCCTATAGTTTAAATTTGAAGATAAAACTTTCCTGCAATTCATTAATTACTAAGGAGCTAGCGAAAAACATTTGACTTTAAAATTCCTATGCTTATATAAGAAAGATCTATGGTTTTATTTTAGCTAAACAATTTCGAACAATTGTAAATGTTTTTTGTCAATTATGAATTCATGATGAAACTGTACATCGTCTTGAGACATTTTCATATTTAACTATTTTAAATGAATATTTTCAATTATTATCATCATTTTATATACCACTATTATTACAACGGACACATTCTGAAATATGATTGATTATACACAAGAAGCATGGTAATCACCGATATTAACACCATCATCATCAAGAATACATTTTATCTATAAGTGGTCAATTACAATCTTATTGTGATTTAATATATCATCATGAATTATATGTTGAACATTTTATATCAATAACAACACATTATCAATTATTATTATTATTTTTATTTGAACAAAATGATACATGTACATATATACATAATTTATTTGATCTTATACATCATACATCAGGTGCAAGTCACTTATTCGTTTGTGAAGGAATACATTTAGATGAAAGTGGTCTTCTATTAGTTTTATTAATTGAACAATTCTTTCCATTACCATATATATCTGTATGAAGTTTAGCTGAATTAATTGTTTATGATCGTATTGAAACGATGTTAACACTTAACCAACAAATATTAAATAAACAATTATGACCTAAATATTTACCATTAATTTTATAAATGTTATCAATAACAATATCAATCGATATTATTAAAGAAGATTTTAATAATCTTAATTGTCCTATGATATAACAAGAAAAATTTATGCACAAATGCTTAAAAATGTAACTTATAAAAAATGATTACCAATTATGATGTCATCGGTGTGTTTTAGTTTAATTTATCAAAATAAATATATATATACATGTATAATGAAAATTTTAATCCAATTAGAGGAAAAAATTATTTTTTTACTCTGACATTGTTTATGTGCTAGTAATAGATGAGATTTTTAAATAATTCAAAATTTCGAAAAATATTTTGAAATAGAAAACTAGTCGATCTACTGTACTTATATATAAAGAAGAACGAGTTTTAACGATATAGATAAGAAACAAAATATGCAGAATTTCAGGTAATACAAATCGTAAAGAAAAGCATTTAAGCTACATTAGTACAATGACCGAATAATTCCTCTCGAATCTCATTGATCAAATTCTCAGTCGTGCTATTTGTACTGTAACAATTAAAGAAAACGACGTCTTTCTAATATTATATCTCGTAAGATGTTTTCGATTGTGTTATTTATTTGCAACCGAAAATAATATTTAGAAATAAATTGCATTCAAGAATTTCGACAAATTTTCTATAGGTTTGAATTCCTGAACTCCGAAAACGTATTGGGTTTTTTTCCATAGCGTAACATTTTTAGGATGATTCTTATAGTAAATGAAAATCGATTTGAGAAAATAAGAAACAATATAAATCTGTTTTTTTTTTGTCTTTCTAGGACTTCGTATAGTTATTAAATATCTCATTGTCTTATCCTTAGTATTCTATCAACATAACGATTAATATCAAATGAAACAAATTAAAATAATGTTGAAACAACACCTAATACAATTTATGAAAAAAGTCTCTTATCATGCTTCTAATAACCAACCATATTCAATTGCATTAATAGATTCTATATCAGTGTATTTTGATAGAATACAAAATCATGTTGAATTAACATGTCAATTTTCAACAGGTGATATACGTGATTTATTACGTTTTATAATATTTATGTCAGAAATAATTTATATAAATAAATTTCAGAAAAAAAAATCATTTCTTAGTTGTGAAATAGATCAAATAATATCACGTTATCGAAAACGCTTTTATCAATATTTGAATATCTTTATCAACGACATGGTTTAACTCTATCAAATAAATAAATCAATTATTATAATCATATTTAAATTTAATTGAACCAGATAATAGACCAATTATACAATTATTACTTTTATTATTTAATGATCTTGATCATCTTTATTATTTAACAAGAAAAATTAAATATATATATCATATATTTCTTGACATGATTTATGTTGTATAGCTATATTATTATTTTGTTTACCAATATTTAATTCATGTATACATATATCAAGACAATTTTGAAGTTGCTTGATTATCAAGAATACAATTTCAAGAAATATAGGCTTCATTTTTACCTTCAATTAACCCACCACAAATCAATCTAATGATAAAAATAAACAAACAATAAATAATTTTAAAAAAGAAGAAATTTTAGAAACAAATGCAACACAATGGTAACAAGGTTCAAAAATAAGGTAGATTTTATCTGTTCTTCTTTTTATCGGTGGTCAATAAATGCAAACACGTTCAACATTAGATAAAAGTTCAAATAATTTATTTACAAATATTGAACGGCTAGGTACAAGTGATTTATTATCCTATGGACAACTTTCATATCATATGATACTATATTAACATCAATTCAAAGTAATAATACATTACCATTATCAGTTAATGTAAGTCTCACATATGTTTTAATAATTGACAAGTAGAACTTCTAGTTTTGTAAATATTGAATATTCAACATAAGTGTATACAGAACTCTAAATTAAGAGAAAGATAAATTCATTGCTAAACTATTAATTTCATCAAACAAAAAATCTAGTGTTTCTCTGACTTTGATTTGATCTATAATACATGCAAACGATCCTATTTCATAGAGATAAAAGCTTATATCAATAATTTCAAATATATTCTATCAATCAGAAAATTAGAGTATGAACATTTCCTTTGCTGGTATCCACCTTTAAAATATATATAATTTAGAGTTTATTTGATCGCTTATTTTTTCATCATGGTTTTGATTTAACATCATCTTTACAAATTCTAATTGAAATATATGTAATATGAATTAATAAGTTCATTTTTATATGTATCTGATTCATTTCCATCATCACAACATTTATCAAATTTATATGATTTATGTGATGAATATTTCCGTACATGGTTTGATGAAGATGACTTAATGATCTCCTTTATAAGTTATAATTTATGTAAATCTAGTATATTAATTGGACAAACAACAAATGAATATAATGAATTATATATACATTTAATTGAACGTAATTATAAATTAATAATAAAGATGATTTAAATAAATTATTAATTCCAGTAATAATACAAGAATTAAATAATAATATATAAAATAATAATTTAAATTCATATGATATTTTATTATCATTAATGAAAGATGATAATTTAACACAAAAAAAATTATATCAATTAGTCTTGAAAGACTTTTAATAGTTGGTCAATATCCTAGAAATGATATATGGCGTTTATATGAAATACGTGCACGTATTGACACATTATTACAACGACCAAATGAAAATACAAATTCATTAAATAATGAAAATGTTAATGAAGAACAAGAAATTATTGATAGTTCATCAAGAATATCATCATCTGATAATATTCTTATTGCACTTGTTGCAGAATTATATGAACGTACTAAACAATCATCAACATTACCATATGAAGCTTTACTTTTATTACATCCTTTATCATTATTACTTGCACACATTAGTTTATCGGATCGTTTAATGAATAAAATGGTTTTAGAATTTGTTGCATCAACACAAAAATGATATTCTTAAATACTTGCATATACAGTCTTTGCTTTTTTTCGTGCTTTAATTAATGCACGTTATTCAGCTAAAGTTAATGAATGGACTTTATTATCAATGACAAATATTGCACAAAGAAAATCAATAGGTATGGCTATATGGTGGTTAACTTGTCTTATGTTAAGTGCATGTTCATCACTTACAATTGCTGATGCATTGTAAGTATTTACTGAAATCATTTATCCTTGCTGATTTTCTTTTCTTTGTTCTTTATATTAA